AAATGTTTGCCATGTGTAGCTTATTTTCCTTGAACAATAGATCATTGGATATTACTGCACAAGAATTCATTGAAAAATGCAGGCATTTCAGAAGCCAAAAAATTGTCAATACGGGACTGACAAAAATTGTCTGGATTTCATATCGATAACCTTTCGTGCCTAAATTCTTGAAAAATTGGGCATCCTTCCAAGCAACTTCCCTACAAGTTTTACAGTGGGATCATGAACTCACCACGACCGACGTCATCTACAAGACACCCAGAGGTCAAGATAGAAGGGAAAGTCAAAATCAATCAAAGAATACCAAGACTTTTCCTCAAGGAACAAAAAGGAAATATCATTTGCATTTTTAGGCATTTAATAAGAGCATGCATCACATATACACAAATGTATTTACCATTTTGTAGATCATTTGAGTCAGCTTGAACCGCACAAAGAATGCTACACTCGAACTCAACTCGATTGAAACAAGACATCTCTCAATAGAGGTCTTCAAATCTGGAGGAAGACCCAAACTTATCCAAATTTTAGGTCGAGGTCAAGTCAATAAAAAGCTATTTAATAATTCAAAACCTTCAAGTTCGATTACACTCAGCTCAGAAGTACATTGATCATATGGAAATAGCAAGAAATTATCTTCCGGTTAAAATCCTAACGGAGATCTTCAAGTTTAGGATGAGACTTTAAATTGGCTACGATTTAGCAAACAAAGAACTACTTCCCAACCTAATTTACAACATAGCTTATGTCGAGAAGAGCTATCTGTCAATGAAAGCTTTCAATTTCGATTCCGCTCAGCTCAAGAGTGCATTGACCGCATGGTAGCAGCAAGGAACTACCTTCTGGTCAAATTCCAAACCGATATCTTCAAGCAAGAAGAAGACCTAGGTTGACTACGATGTGGCAGCAAGGAACCACTTCCAAGTCAGATTTTAATGCAGCTTAAAGCAAGAAGGGATATTTGTCAAACAAAGCTTTCGAGTTCAATTTCACTTAACTCGAGAACATATTGATTGCATGGTAGCAACAAGGAAATATCTTCCAGTCAAAATGTAAACTGAGGTCTTTAAGTCAAGAAGAAAACACGAATTGGTTGTGATTTAGCAACAAAGAACTACTTTTTAGCCTAGGTTTCAATGTAGCTCAAGTTGATAAGAGCTACCTATCGACCAAAACTATCAACTTCGATTCCGCTCAACTTGAGAGCATATATACCATGATAGCAATAAGGAGATATCTTCTGGTTGAATTTTCAAGATTAGCTGCAGTCTAGCAATGAGAAACTAGTCTCCAGTCGAAACCTTTGGGTTCAAGTTTAAACTTCACAAAGTTGCTTGATTTAAAAGCATGATCAACCCGGTTCAACAAGAAATCCAACCAAATTCTTGAAGAAAAGTAGAACGTCTTCAAAAGAGCAAGCTCAGCTTCGGAATCCTTTTAGCTCAAAACACCGAACGAAAATTTGTATTTTTATCTTTGTCATATTGTCGTTACACGAAAATGGACAAAGAGGGATAGCTGTAGACACCTATTTTTGTTTGAGGTTACTTTAGGGTTCATATTATTAGTGTAGTATATAATATGATATAACATGTAGTTTCAAAATATATAATATATATATAGGTTTTTTTAAAAATTTTAATTTTTAAAAATATATATATTGAAAATATATAATTTAATTTTTTAAAACATATTATATAATTTTTTTAAAATATAATATATATTATATAGTTTTTAAAAAATAATATTTTTAAAAATATTATATATAATATATAATTTTTGAAAATATAGTTTTGAAGACATGTCGTAAAATAAATATAGTTTTCAAAGATATATATATATATATTTCAATTATTATTATTATTATTATTATTATTATTATTATTACTACTACTATTAATTTAATTATTTTAGGTCTAATGTCCAAAGTCCAAAGTGGTTCAGTCCAACATGGGTGTCAAAGACCCAATCTACCTGACCCAACAGATTGGGATTCAAGGAAGTCCAAGTCAAGTGAAGGCCCAACAAATAGGCCCGCCTGACCCAGCAGACCAGACTGCCAAACCTAGAGAACAAGGGCATAATGGACAAAAGTCCCAATCACGAGAGCCCAAGACGTCTGACCCAACACCCTAGGGTTTCATCATTGAGTCCAGTGTCGTACAAGTGAAGACCGTTAGATCAAGACACGAATGGACGGCAAGAATCACGAGCGACTAGGGTTACAAAACCCCAGGTTTTTTATGACACTTGCACAACTGATCCACAGCCGTTAAATCTGCAACAAATCCAACGACCCATATCACACCACAGACATCAAAGTTCATCGGTCGGACGATTAATGGTGCATGAGGGCCACGTGCAGACGAAGCAAATCCCATGCGCTAATCAAAACATCATCGCCGATTTTTTGGCCATATTTCCACAAATAAGCTTAGGGAAATTCTCCAAAAAAAGACAATCAACACAATGATGGCAACCGAATAAAAAAGGCAACAGAACCATATTAGATGAAATCAACAAATTTGAGCATAAAATAAAAAGGAAATAAATCCTTTTTGCATACAAGATCGAACCAAGAAAGAAGCTTTCAGCGGTTCAAAATAAATCACGAAGCAAAAAGGAAACAAATCGTCTTAACGCTCGAAGTCACAACTGTTAAAGAGGGAACGCATCTTCGGTCAAAGGGAAATAAATCCCTTGGCCACACTATAAGAACCCTTGCGAACAAAGAGAGAAAGGCATCAAGCTGTTACAAAAAATACACAAGGAAAAAAAACACAAAAAGGGGAGATACTTAGCTAGGGAATACCACCGGGAAACAGATCTGAGCCAACGAAGAAGTTAAATCTGAGGCCTATTTTGTTAGATTTATGCCACGGTGTATGTAGCATGTATAATCGGTGGAGAGATTCAAGATCGGGGTAGCGAGGAGAGCATTCGGGATGATTTTTGTGAGCTTTAGCCACCGTGGGTTGTGGCTCGAGCAGCGGCGATGCGACGATAGATTTGTTGCTTGATCCATTTTCTTCTTTTTATATTAAATTGGTGCCTTAATCGATTCTTTTTTGTTTTGTAACATTCCTTTTTTTATATTATATTTTTATTTTTTATTTCTTTATTATCCTAACATTAATTTTATTTCTTAAAGCAACCCCTTCAATTTCTAAATAATCGTCAAAGGTAAACAACTCGAATCGATTTTAAATTTTATTTAAACTTTAAATTCCTTCATTTAAGATGACATGGTAATCAAATGGTACTGAAAGGGCGGTTCAGGGGTGCTCATCCTTCCTCGACCGTAAATGACTCTCGAACTCAACAAATTTTTGATAAGAGGTAGATCCAGTACACGGTAAGTTCGAGGTATCCAATCCACCTATTCCAAAAGTGGTCGATGGCAACTCCATCATTTCATTCAAGTCGAAATGTAACCTCTCGAAGGACCATTGCGACAGATATTGTCCTCATAAGTGTTGATGCTTCCTTAACAGTACTGATACTTTTCCTTGAAAAAAGAAATTTATTAAAGGGATTTTAGATAAAACATTTGTTCAAATATTCTTCCAAGTATAAATGGTCCATATTTTAGTCCATAAATTTATATTAATTCATAGATTGCATATTATTTATTAAAAAATAAATTTAAATTTCTTGATGCAATGATGTGACATTTCCGCTTGAGTTTTAAGATTGAAATGTTGTCAAAATAGGGTGTTTACTTTTCGGTTTTAATTGAATTAATCAATTAAATTGAATTAGTTCAGTTAATGTGGTCGGCCACCGAATTAGTTCGGTTGGAAAACGGTTAATATTTTTTCAATATTCGGTTAACGGTTAGTTCGGTTCGAAATTAGTTAATTAACTGAATTAATCGAATTAACCAAAATTATTAAATATTTTATACATTATTTATTAAAACATATTTTAAGCTCAAACTCATTAAGAATTAATATACAATTATTTTTTAACCACACTAGACTCATTAAATTATCTATATCTAATTAAATTTTATCTCAAATAAAAAATACATCTATTATATTTAAAAATCAATCTAATTAAAAAATTATTAAAAAATTCCGGTCAATTCGGTTAACCGACTGAAATAATCAAACTTTGTTCGGTTTGGTTAATATTTTCAAAAAAAATTAGTTCAGTTAACGATTAAAGATTTTTTTTTAATTAATTCGATTAGTAGAAATTCGATTCTGATGGTGACCGAATTAACTTAATCAAAGGATTAGCGATGGGGAATATGGGTTGATTAGCGATGTGACTCTAATAAGGCTTCTCTGTTTACTTTTTAAGTTATAGGATGTCTAACGAGACAACTTAAGGTTGCTAGGGATTAAACCCAACTCAAGGGAGTTGATGAGATGAGATCAATCTTGACCCTCCACAGTTGGAAACCCACAGGGTGATTATCCAGTTTTAGGGTGCCATGAACAAGTAAGCTTGGTGTAGATTATCACAAATAATTCTGCCATGGCATTCCCTTCTAACGCTAATGGTTCATGAACTAAGGCATTAAAAATGTCGACGCAGTCGGTTTTAATTTCGATCTTATTAAAACCTAGGATCTATGCATGCTCTAAAGCATCATGAACCAAGGCACTAAAAAAGAATACAAAAATGAAAATGTTTCAAAATGATAAGACTATGCAGATGAAAGTTGAAAATGAGTCCTTTTAAAAAAAATAGAGAGTTTGGATTGTTACAGAGGAAGAATAAACAAAACTAGCAGACAGAACCTTTGTATATCACTGCATGGCCCATCCCATGATCTTCACAAGGAGGCAAATTAAAATCCCATACAGTAGCATTGGATAATACACATATAATATATTACAAGAAATGACTGCCAATGAAAAGTCCATATATACATTATACATATATATATCCCTCCACATTGACAGTATTCATTTCCATGTACTTCTAATCGTAATAAAATCGAGAAATAAAGTAACAAAACTTGTAAGATTGTATTGCTCCGACATCCCATTTTCTTGATGTATCTGTATCTTTGACAGCAGTGTGCCAAAGCACATTTATATATGAATACGAAGATACGACTTTCCAAGGACCTCATAAATACATGAAAACACTTTGAAAAGTTGAACATAGCCGTATCAGAGACATATTCATATCCGGCCATTACACCCAAGCTCGTGTAACCTAGATTCAAGAAATCACTTTAGGAGGAGATTGAGGTATCCAAAGGAGTTACCATGTCATTAGTATTTCGAGTAATTGGCCGGAGATTAGCTGCATTTTCTATTCGCTGCCATGCTTTTTCCTGTTTCTCGGCGATTTTTCTTTGCTTTGCCTCTACATCCTTAAACTGAATATGGCAAGACATGAAAAACATACGATCCATATCCATGAACATCCTCCTGACATTTAAAGTTAAGTTCAGGATTGATGGATTCCAATGGCTCTGGGCATTCCTTTCCAAGGCAGGAAGTATGATGGGCAAAATCACATGCCGGTTGTGCACAATTAGGTTAAAAAATTGATCTTTATTCCAAAGGAGAAGTGCCCTTTCAGCCACCTGAAATCAATCATATTTTTCCATGTCTCATATCGATTCTAGCAATCCAGTGAAAAGATTGAAATCTTGTGAAACAAGGCATCCCCGTTAAGATAGTTCGACAGAAGACTTCTCTTCTCATCGACTGCCGGGATAGTTGCATTTTATAGGCAACTCTTTTGTAGTAAAAGAAATCTAACTCATAGCTTGTGAAATACAAGGTATATTGGTTATCATATTGGATAATCATAAGCTGTGATTTAGGGGTAATAGCTGAAAAGTTTAACAGAAGAACCATTATATATTCCAAACCGTTATTTTAAGACACCAACGGTCATCATGGCCCAAGTTGGCCGGAGTAAGTTTTATTTCAGGTCAAAGTAGAGATGTAGATAAGCTCAACTTTGTTAAAACCAAACATGAGGCTAGCAACCCTAAGTATGGACATTATGTAACTCATGAAATCAAGGCCTAGCTCCAAGTTTTCTTGAGTTATGCTCATTTCTGATCAAACATGATGGTGGATGATAAATTAATGTCAAATCACAAAACATTTCATTCAACTCGAAGACTCGAATGGTCATTACATTTCTTAACATCTTAATACATATGTATGGTAACAGATTTGAAATTGTGAAACAGAAGATACAGAGCATGATTCAAAAATTTTCCGAAAAAGATAATTCAAGTGAATGCACCACCTTGAGGAAAACAAAGTTGAGAGCATACCAAGCATGACATGAAGACTAGATGTAAAAAGAGCATCAAGGTAAGGAGAAAATACCTGAAAGTGCAAACTGTTAATGCAGCGGCCAATCCGTGAAAACAATGGGACCATAACCTTTTGGAACTCCACCATGTTAGTTTCTTCCAAAATATCTTTCAACTCATCAAGAAACATCACCTCCTTCTGGCTGTTCGTTATCGGCCAATACTTCAATAAACCCTTTATCACTACATTGGACAAGCTTGGGTCCTTATCAATGAACTGAGTAACACAATAGGACAATTGATTAAAGTAAACTCCCAAACTCTTCGGTTTATGCAGCGGAATCAAAACCCTCTGCAAGAAGATCTTATGCTCCTCCTTCAAAGGCAGAGCAAATCCGCTGATTATACTACCGAAAATCTCCAATAACTCGCTGATTCCATTATGTCTCTCCATCTCAAAAATAAATCGACAGAATATATTGCTTATATCCTTTCGAATAAGCGGCCTATGAACCATAAACTTCCCATAAACCCTATGCAATATAGACTTCAAACACTCCCTTTCTTTTGGATCCTCAGAATCAAATAAGTCGAGCAATTTCAAAATAAATGAATGGTCTATATACTTTTTAGCTATTTTTGCATCAAGGCACGGAGAAGTGATGAACTTGAGCAGCAAATCATATACAATTTGCAAATGTGGCCAAGCTGAACAAAACACTGGATCATCATCATCAGGTTCACCGCTACTGCTTGAAATAGATCGATAATTGGGCGGGAAAACTCTAAACAAATTCGTAGAACACATCCTACACAAGGCTAAAATCGCAGGTTCGCTAAATATAATTGACCCGGAATTCACGAAATCTAACAGCTCAAGCAGTATTTGCCTTTTTACATCTTTTTCAATTGAATTTTTAGTCGCGTCACTGAAATCGAAAGTCACGCAACAAAGGCTGACCTTACTCACAAAAAGGTTCATCTTCTCTGAATTCGGCGCGCTTTTGAACGGCAACAAAGGTTCGACTCCCGCCACAACGCTTGCCGGGAAAATGGCAGAGGATGTTCGTTTTGTGTTGCATGGACGACCAATGCCCGGGCCGAAACTTGTGGATCGGTGAATGTGTGACCCGGCTGTTATGTACGAGTTTGACCGAGCTATCTCGGGCGAGTCGGAATTCCCAAAATTCCGAGGGATTTTACTGAGGAATTGCCTTAACATTGCAATTTTGTTTGTAAAAACGGATTCTTAAGGAGAAACCATATTCAATGGGAAACATTATGAAAAAAGTGAAGAAGAAATTGAGATGCATCATTCCATAGAGAAAGAACGAGAAAGAGTGTGTTTGGATAGAAAGAAAAACAAGAAATCTGTAGGAAAGCGAGAAGGGGAGAAGGGGAGAGAATGTTGTTGTTTTTCTTATTATTATTTACGGTTGAGTTTCTTTCAATCTTTGTTTTTTGTTGTAATGGAAGTAAGAAAACTACACAATATTAAATAGGATTATCCCTTTTTTTTAAATTATAAATAAAACAATGTTATAATTATCATGTGAAAAATCCATCCAATAAATTTTTTATTAACTTTTATTTATGAATATCGAGTTTTCATCCATTCATTAATTCTTATCAACTTTTATTTTCGGTTTCTATCATACTTTTAAAAATATATGCTTAAAAATATGAAAAACTTTATTCTATAATCATTTCATTAAGAGATAAATGGTTGTTAACCATGTGTAAACCAAAATATAACTTTTAAATAAGTTTATTGATTATTTTAGGAAAAACTGTTAGCAATTAAAATAAATTACATGGTAGAACCAATCGGTTTCTATGGTAAAGAAATATTGTTATTTTCTAAGGTTTTGAGTTCGAGTTAATTTAGAATATATATTATCTTATACCCATCTCAAATTAATAAAATAGAAGATATACTGCTAAAATTTACTATTAATAATTGATGAAACAATTATTTTAACCCATATTTTTTTGAAGTACTTTAATTAGTAAAGTAATTGAATGGAAACTATTTATTAACAAACAATCAAAGTTTAATATGATATTAATATCTATATATATATAACTAACAATCAGTTGATCTAGTAGGATAAGGCATTAGGTCCCTTAAGCAAATCAGGGGTTGTGAGGTCCTCGCCTCTGCAATACTCGATATGGATTAGTTGGTCAACAGAATAGATCAGATATCAGTGATTAATTTAAAAAAAAATGCCTATATATAAAGAATGATGTGACATATTATATAATTAAAATATTTTATTTATCAGATTAATATTATTTATTTTTTAGTAATTAATATTGTTTGTTTATTTTGTTAAGTTAATATAATAAAATAAAATGATGACCCATATTATTATTAGAGAATATAAAGTGACGAGAATCAAATTCAAGTCTTCCAGATATAAAATTCAATACCTAACCACCAAGTCAAATTAATAATGCATAACATAGTTCACAAATATATTCTTATATTTATAACATAAATATTCGTATTTTTTAAAGTCTATGCTATAAACTATTTTAGGTAAAAGGGTAATTTTAATTTTTGTAGTATACCTAATTTATCACTTTTGCTTCTGTCGTATTTTCATATCAATTTAGTCCTCGAAATCACTCAATTGCATCATTTTTTTTTAAAGTCTATGCTATAAACTATTTTAGGTAAAAGGGTAATTTTTATTTTTGTAGTATACCTAATTTATCACTTTTGCTTCTGTCGTATTTTCATATCAATTTAGTCCTCGAAATCACTCAATTGCATCATTTTATATTCTACCCTAGCTTAAAACTCTGAATTATAAACCCTAAACCTTAAATCATAACCTTATAGTCTATAAACTATAAACCCTAAATCTAAATCATAAGTCAAGGTATAGACGAAAATGATAAATTGGATTTATTACAGGGGCAAATGTGACCTTTAAGCTATTATTTTATTATTAAAATATTTTTTAATATATTATTCTTTATTTTATAAATATATTATTTATATTTTATAATCTCAATATTGATATATTTTATCATTTAAATATTATATTTCTCACGTGTGAATTATTATTTATGATATAAAATAATAATATTTTATATCATAGTAATAAATTTAAAAACTAAATATTAATATAAAATAACATTAATTAAAAAATAATTATAACACACGTTATATAATAATATTTGTAGTATACATATATTAATATAACAATATATTTGTCAAATCATATATTACTAACTTGATTTAGGGCTCGTTTGGTGATATTTTCTAAAAGCACTTTTAGTTAAAAAATTCGTTTTGTCCGTAAAATCAATGGCAAATAGATAAAAACAAAAGAAAGAAATTACGGTGAAAACGGTAGTTTTAAACCAACCGCAAAAGTTAAGGTTTCTAGCATTTTCATTTTTAATTTTGTGTTTGAAATCAAATTATAATTTTTCATTTACTAATAGATGGGTTCCACTCAATTATATATTTACATTTTATTTTAATAATTCAATACTAACATCCTTAAAAAAATAATTTATTACTTTTAATAATTTATTTTAATCATTTAAAAATAAATAAAATTCATGATTTATATATTCAAATATTAATAGTGAGTTATATAAATATATTTTTATTATAATTATAATTTTATTTATAATTTTAAACTTTTATTATAGTTTAAATTGATTTAATTCATACATGATAATAAATTTTTTATTTATTATAGTTTAAATTGATATGTTTCATATATAAGTATAAATGTTATTTTTTTAATTTACACCATAATGTCTATAATGAACATTTTATCTTTTCAAACTTCTTTTTTAATACCAATCTTAAACAATTAAATTTTAAATTGTACTTTTGTACAACACTTTTAAAAGTTCATTTTTACAACAGTCACTTTTCAAAAGTTATACCAAACTGACCCTTAGTAGTTCCTGATTAGGTATTTTGTTTTTCATCCTATTCACCTAAGTCAAAGTCTCAACTTACATTTTTAAATTTCTCATCTTTTTTATAAGATGATTATTTGTTTTACTATCTTATTAGATTAAATTAATTTAATACAAAATTAAATAATATTAATTTAATAAACAAAAATAAAATATTTTTAAAGACATAGTTTATCACATCATCATTTTTTAACTCGTGATATATATTATATCATTATTTATATACGTATGATAAGTGTCACATTATCACTTTAGACACATGATAATATCATGTCATAACTTTTATACACGTGATAATATTACATCAACACTTTAAATACATATAATATAACACATCAATAACAAACATATTGTTAGTCACTTAACGATTTTATCAAATTAGAGATTATTTTAATTTAAAATAGAATGTTGAAGATTAAAATACTTCAAAAAAATAAAGATTAAAATGACTATTCATTAACATGTCGGGGGTGATTTGAGAAAGGGGAGGTTATGAAAGTCTTATCTTTAAGACATATCGTGTCTTCTATTTTATGTGACAACCTTTCTTTTCTTATTAATCATGTGATATATCAAGTCCTCTAAAGATATATCTTTTTTATGTTTTAGAAGATTACAATAATCTAACTATGATTTCGACAACATTTTACTGGAAAAAGTTATCTCGAAAGATCTCACATATTTTAATCTCGTTCACTAAAATATCAATAACAATATGAATTTATTCATATTTTATTAAGTTCTAAATTCATTAATTTGTTAAGAAAAGAATTACTTACTTCACTATATATTAATTTTAGATATATTCATTAATACTTAAGCAGATAATTTCATTGTTGTTGTTTTTCTCGTTTTAATAAATTTTTTTTTTGCAATAATGTGTGACAGTTAGATAATGCAAATAAAAGCAAAGAGAAATATCTTATAATATTGTAAATAATATTTTATTTTTGTTTTAAGTAGATTTTAGAAATAATTAAGAATTTTATGATAACCACGTCTGTCTTATTTATTATTTTAACCGTATTTTTACCTTTATAAATATCAAACTTTAATTCAATATGTTACATACTCTATGATTTCACTCCTATTTTCTCTATAAAAAGAGTAATACCAAGCAGTTTCACCTACTCACTGTGGGTGTATAATGTTTGAAAGACTACAATAATATTAGAGAATAGTGTCTACTTTAATGATTACATTAATTTAAATGAAATTAACGATAGATTTTAACATAGTATAATAACAATATCAATTTTCTTTTATTATTATTATTTGTGATAATCAATGATAACGTGTTTTATTTGTAACAATATTTACTAACAAAAGGCATACTTACATTTAACCAGGCTGCAACAACGATGCACGTGTGGGATTCCATAACCTCTTGCATCATATATGTATTTATTATGATTTCCCTTGTATCATACATGTTTGTGCAGAATCATGTATTTGTTTATAGGTATAATCATGTATTTTGCTTAAGATTTTAAGTATACATTGGCGATGGCTGTGTTATCCTCTGATGATTCTTTTATAAATGAATTACCAAGGGACCTCTGTGGAATTTGCAGTATGGTACAACTTTCTCAGTTGCTTGGTGTTGAATATGATAGATTTTAAAGCTTATTCCTACTTTAGATGACCAAATCAAGTTGTATGCGGACATTGTCAAGAACAATTTTCGTTGAAGCATCGATGAGTGTGTTTAGAGTGACATCATATATTGGACTACACCTACCCAACAGTCGAGGCCTTTAGTTTCCATCTTTCGGTTTTTTGGCCCAATACCCCAAGTGGGTTAATTATTTAGGGTATTGGGTCAACACAAATTTTATTTTGAAAACTACGATATTTTTTACAGTGAAAACCGAACTCGTCACCTCGAGGTGACGAGTTCCTAAAGATATTATTCTTAAATTATCCCAGTGAAGTGGGCTTCACGTGGGCCATTATTTTATTATCATTAAAATGACTCATCACCTCGGCGTGACGAATCTATTTAAAAAATATTTTTTAAATTACAAAAATAAAATAAAATAAAAAGTATAAATTAAAAAATTACGTGAAACTCGTCACGTCGATGTGACGAGTTCCTTTAAATTCAAAAAAAAAAAGTAGTTGTTGGTTAACGACTATATCGGCAACGGTCATGGGTCGAATAATAATGTCGTGGGGCTCGTCAAGTACGCTGGGGTCGTAGGCTTTGATCGTCGTCATTGTCTTGTCGAGGTGTATTTAACACACTTTGCGATCTACCTTCGAAAT